TTCCACCGCCCGAGCGAGCCTGGCAGCAGGTTACCATGGATTTCGTCACGGGGTTGCCTTCAAGCCCCGGGGGTAATGCCGCGGTTATGGTCGACGTTGACAGACTGACGAAAATGGCTCACTTCGCTGCGTGCAGGAAATCGATCACAGCCGAAGAAACCGCTCGTCTGTTCATCGCGACCGTCGTTCGACTGCACGGGATACCGACCGCGATAATCAGCGACCGCGACACGAAGTTTACAAGCAACTTCTGGAAGAACCTCTGGGAGCAGTTCGGGACCCGGCTACAGTTCAGCTTGTCGTGTTAGAATATATTTGATATATGTTCTGTATAAGCGCATGTAGTTCTAGCTGTAGTGTAGTCCCATTATTGTCCTGTGTGGTGGTGCACCACTCCTTGCATGCTTCTCCTCTATTTGTACTTGTCATTCTATAGTTGAAACCCCTTCCTGCTTGGACAACTCTCTCTTGCCTAGGTGTAAACCCTAGCTCCTAGTCCTAACTATGGATCCTAAGCCTAAACCTAGTTTCCTAGGTGCTTAGTATCTTGACATGGTATTAGAGTGTTTCGATCCTATGCCTACTACGCTTCCGCTCATGGGCCCCTCTGCCCGCTTTTCTGCCCGTCGGTTTTCTGCCCGTCGATTTCGGATCCCGTCGGTTTTCTGCCCGTCGCGCGCCCCGGGCGCGCGTCGATTTTCTGCTCGTCGCGCGCCCCGGGCGTGCGGCGATTTCGTCCCCGTCGCGCACCCCGGACGCGCGACGGTTTCCTGCCCGTCGCGCGCCCCGGGCGTGCGACGGTTCTCTGCCCGTCGCGTGCCCCGGGCGTGCGACGGTTTCTGCCCGTCGCGCGCCCCGGGCGTGCGACGGTTTCTGCCCGTCGCGCGCCCTGGACGCGCGACGGGTTCTGCCCGCCAGCGCGCCCTGCTAACGCCCGCGCACCTCCTACCCCCCCCCCCCCGCCCCCCCCCCCCCCCCCCTTCCCCTTCATCTCCATGCTGCGCGTGCGGCAGTGGGGGGGAGGGTATGGGGGTGGCCTCTCTCCCACTGCTGCAGCTGCTGCTGAGGGGGGGAGGGTGTGGGGGGAGCCGAGGGAGTGTGGGGGGAGCTGGGGGTGGCGGGTGTGAGTAAGCTGCCCCTCCTCCTTCTCTCTCTCCCACTGCTGCAGCTGCTGCTGAGGGGGGGAGGGTGTGTGGGGGGGCCGAGGGAGTGTGGGGGAGCCGAGGGAGTGGCGCTAGTGTTGTAGAAGGGGTGTGGGGCAATGGGGGAAGTTGAACGGAGGTAGCCGTCGTGTCGCCAGCAGCGCCAGTAGTCCGGGGCCCTCGTGCTCTCGGTAGCCCAGCGAGCCTGCTGCGCCAGTCGCCCGTGGGTCCGTTGCTCTTGCCGCTCCTCGTAGCCGCCGAGCCAGTTACTCCAGTAGTCCGGGGCGTTGTCCCAGTAGCCACTGTGCCAGCCGCTCCTGTCGCCCGTGTGTCTGCAGCTTCAGCTGCCGCCTCCTATCTCCTCTCCTCCCACAGTTCCTCCTCCTCCTCCTCCTCACTTCGCCTCTTCTTCTGTTGCGCCCTGCAGGGTGTACCACTTCAGGGGGTGTTCTGCACATGGCTATTCCTGCATGCACTTAGGGGGTGTGTCAGAATATATTTGATATATGTTCTGTATAAGCGCATGTAGTTCTAGCTGTAGTGTAGTCCCATTATTGTCCTGTGTGGTGGTGCACCACTCCTTGCATGCTTCTCCTCCATTTGTACTTGTCATTCTATAGTTGAAACCCCTTCCTGCTTGGACAACTCTCTCTTGCCTAGGTGTAAACCCTAGCTCCTAGTCCTAACTATGGATCCTAAGCCTAAACCTAGTTTCCTAGGTGCTTAGTATCTTGACATGTCGTACTACCCCGAGACCGACGGTCAGACGGAGCAGACGAACTAGACCATGGAGCAGCTGATTCGTGCCACGTGCGACGACCCGACAACATGGTAGCAGCAGTTGCCGCTGATCGAGTTCGCATACAACAACGTCACGTCAGCAACGACGCAGCAGTCCCCGTTTTAGCTAAACTACGGGCAAAGCCCAACAGTGCCCATGACGCCGAGTCCGGACAACCCAACGCCACGCACTCAACAGTTCGTCGAGATACTGCAGGCTGCCCAAACACGAGCAGCAGACGCAATTAAAAAAGCCAACCTTATCGCGAAGAGAAATGCTGACCGCATTCGCGTAGCGGAGGGGGCTTCTCGGGGGGGGGGGGGGTGGGTGTAGTGTAAGGATATTTTTGCATTCCTTACCGCGTTCTTTAATATCGCGTACAGCAGGAGCCGTTGTTCGCCCGTTACTGCTAACGGGGCTTCGCCAACATTCACGCGCACTATTCACCAAACCATGCACCGCTGGCCCGGCCGTGTCGGCCTACGCTTCGGGACTAGCCCGAACCTCGATATAGCTAGCTCGCACGCACCGCGTAACCGTTGCATGTTTCGCACATAAGTATTCGCTCATGCCTTCGCTCATACTTTGTACTGGTTTGACAACCTAGTGCAATCCTCGCTATCTCGTTCCATTGCACCCGTAACACTAACCTAGGGCAAAACAGTAACACCTAGACTACAACTAATAAACTACATAAAATATAGGTTGACAGGGACCACACAGCAAAAACTGGCGCGCAGCTATGGATACGAAAATCAAGGCACTCGAGTCCTGCGACACATGTGTACTCGTCGATCGAGCAGCAATCAAAGGAAGGCGCGTACTCTCGGGGAAATGGGTCCTTCGCGTGAAAATCGCGACGGACGGTACCATCAAGCGCTTGAAGGCACGCTGGTTCGTGCGAGGCTATGACCAACGTCACGATATCGACTTCGACCAAACCTTTGCGCTGGTCAGCCGTTATACATCCGTGCACATTTTGCTCACCACCACTACAGCAAGGCATCTGCCGCATCGCCAGATTGACGTGAAGAGCGCATGCGTTAGTAGATGCGGTGATTTTTTGTTGAACAGCCGCATACCTACGGGGAAGGCGACTCACACGTGTGCCAGTTCAAGAAGTCCCTGTATGGGATCAAGTAGGAGCCAAGGCTCTGGCACTAGCACCTGCATAAAATCCTACTCGAAATAGGATTCACGAAGCTGTCGCACGATCCCGGGATGTGCCGCCTGCATTTCTGCAGCGATTACATTCTGCTTACAGTGTAGGTGACTTACTCTACACAGGCACGTGCAACACGCTGCTCGATCAGTTCGAGAAGAATCTGGCGATGCGCGTCGACATTAATACGAACCACGGCTTGACGCGGTTCCTGGCACTTAATATCTCATACGCTCCTAAAGCCATTCACCTCTCAGCTTCCAAGTACGCCGAAACACTTGGGGAGTGGTTCAACATTTCTCCCACACCACTCTCAACTCCTTACCGCACGCCAGGACCGAACTACAAGACTGACAACGAAGCCCAGTCCCACGCAGGACTTCACACCTACCAGCAGCAGCTGGGTTGCCTGATCTTCGCCTCAGTGACGTGCAGGCCAGATCTCTCCTATATCGCGAGCCATCTGACTCAGTACTCACGCAAACCAACGGCTGAGAAATTTATGGATCTTGAGTGCGCTCTGCAATTCTTCATCTCCACACCACACCCAACATCGGGCTGTTCTACTCCACTCTCACAATTCCCTCGTTCAACCTCGTCAGCTACGTGGATGCCGATCACGTCGCAGATCCCGGCAATGGACGATCGAGAACGGGCCTTCTGTTCCGACTCAAGCCAACAGGGCAAATTTCATGGAATTCCGAGAAGCAGGAACGGGTTGCACTGTCATCGGCGGAAGCAGAATTTGCCGCCACGACAGCAGTAGTTCGCTGAGGGCTCTATCTACGGAGCTCCTGCAGGATTGATTTGATTGAGGTTGCTGAGACAAAGGTGTAGTTTACTAACTGTAATTGAACTCTATTGTTTAATTTCTGAAATTAGGCAAATGTGTGTGGATGGCAGAACGTGGTGCGTTATGATTTGGCTCGATCCTCCGCGAGTGCTGAGTTAGCACACACATGAAGCGAGTTACCAAACACGTGAAACGGGTTACCAAACACGTGAAAACATATTGTAATGGTTACTATATGCGTTATCGAGCCCCATATTCGCTACCATCGCATATGTCCCCCTGTTATGTTCATGCTTGTCTCGTTAGTGCAATCGTCTCGCTCTGTCTCACTCGATAGCGTAACAACAACTCAGAGAATAACACCTGCCTTGCACCAGATGGCTGGTTGCGTGGCGTTACAGCAAGTGAAGGTTTGATCCCAGGAGATCCTGCCCATCGCGTCGCCTCGCCATGCCGTCCTGTCACCGCCAGACCAGACCATGCCAGATGGGAGGCTGTATGCCCAATCAGGTCGCGAACCCACTGTACCTGAAATGTAACAAGCAATCCCTTTGCACACGAAAGACTTGTTGGCGGTGCAATCAGAAAACAGCTGGGTGGTCAGCTCTGGTCTCCGTCAGATTCCTACAGTTGAAGAGCACCCTGCATTGGTGTCGGCCACACTTCCGATGAAATCGGACGGCTGTCCCAGCACATCGAGCTTGTGATTTGGAAACAATTCCCGGTTATGCGAATAGGCGAACCTAAACGATCTAGCAACGATGTCACAAACTCATTTCGCGAACTCGCCAATCACCTCTCCCTACTTTACACCTTCCAACTACCTTACCTCCATCTTCGCCAATCTCTGATCCAGACTTGCAGTGCATGTCACCCTCTCACACGCGCTCAAATACCCCGGATGATCCTACCAACCGCCATAATGCTTGTGTTTGAAATTGCATGTCTTGGCGCGAATCATTTTTATTGAAATGCTTTAGTCGTAGCATAGCATAGGCCTTTACGGATATTCGCAGTGTAATTGCGGCATTGACAACCATCTCGCGACTTCTCCGTGCCATGGCACGTGGCAGACGGTGGGCGACCGGAACATGTAGATGGCGGACACTGGCGGATCGGACGATGCAGCGCAGCCCACTCAAGACTATCTTCCTCGCGACCTTCCTTCTCCTCGTCTCGCTCGCCCCCGTTCCGCACGCCGCTAGTGCCTCACGCGGCCCGTTCGTGCGATCTCGCGGTCGAGACGCCGACAGCTGGCAGCGCGTATTTGACAGGGACGATCTCAGCGACAGGGATGCGCGATTCGTTTCATTAGACGGATCGGATGTGACGAGAAGAAGCAGAGGAGGTGAAGCGATTGCGCGCAGTGCGGATGCGACGGAGACAGCTGAGGCGTGGAGGTCGCCGCAAGACCCGCTAGCAACAACGTCGCACGCAAGCGAGCGGCGCGCGGACGCGCTATTATCGCGGATGGATGCGAGGGAGCCGTCGCGGCGGCGCGGTCTGAGCATGTCGTTCCTGCCGCGGCACCACCCTCGGCGCGCGCCCGGCACGTGCTGGAGCCGAACCGAGGCGAAGATGTACTGGACGGTGCGCGGGGGCGGGGTGTGGGGGACGGTGCGCGGGGGACGTGGGGGGAACACGCGCACGCTAGGGGGTTGGCGATGCTCGTGCCGTGGGGGGAAAGGGGGGGAGCGTATAAAGAGGGGTGACATGTGAGGGGTGACGTGAAGGGTACTCTGGGGGCATCGAGATTGGTGGGGAAGTGGGGGATAGCGGGCATGTGGGCGTTGATGGAACGAACGTGCGTAGGAGCATGGCGCTCACTCGCCTCCTGTGCCGCGCGCCGCGCCTTGTGCCGTGCAGCAGGGGCGGGCTTTGCTGTGGCGACTGGGCGAGATAGCGAGGTGGGGGAAAATCGGGCAGGGGGTATGAGTGAGCCTAGGGAGGGTACTGCCATGCTGCTGCCCCTCTCACAGCAGCTCCCTGGTCAAGAAAGCAAAGTCCGCTAACCCACTGCCAACCACCCTTTTCCTCCTCCCCCCTCCCTCTCCTCCTCCCCCCCTCCCTCCCTCCCTTCCCCTTCCCTCTCCGTCTCCCCCGCCGCCAGCCCAGTCCCCTCTCACTCCCTATCCCTCACGCCAACCCCTCCGCTTCCCAACGCTCTCCTCACACTACGCTCTTCCTTCAAAACCCATCGCTCGCTCTTTCTACATCTGCCTCTTTCCTCTCCCCTCCCCTCCCTCACATATCGCGCCACTGTGCGGCCTTACCTGACGTATCCCCTGGCCGCAATCACCTCTCCAGAGTCCAGAGCCACCCTGTGACACGGGTCCCTCTCTCGCCGTCTGCATTGACACCAAGCCACGAGTTTCCCTCCGCTGCCCTGCGCTCTACTTGGACTCTCGTGCCCTGCCCTCCTAAACCCTTCCTTCTCGCTCGTGTGCCCCTCTCATCCCTCTCATCCCTCTCCTCCAAGCCTCTCTCCGCTTCCCTTTCAAACACCCTGTCCCATCCCAATTTAACCTTCCCCTCATCACCCACTCGCCACCCGTCTCCCATCAATCTCCGTCCGTCTCGCCCTTACCCCTCCCCCCTCCCCCTTTCTCCCTCGCTGCATAGCCTTCCTGCCCCGTTTCTCCCTCACTACACGCGCTCGCTCACAGTGCGCCACCCACCCACCACGCTGTGCCATGACCCCCTCCACTCCCGCTCCTGCCCCACTCGCCCTCTGCTCTGGCCAACCATGCTTCCTCTGCTCTCCTTCCCGCCACCTCGATCCCCTCTTGCCCCCCTCTCCCCCTCCTGCGCTGCCCCTCGCCCCTCCCCCTCTTGTGCGGGCAGGCGGGGAAGACACGCACAGAGCACGGAGCACGGAGTCACTATTGACAATTCTCACAAGTGATCCATTCCCCTGCCCTTGTGCAAGCAGGCGGTGAAGGTGCGCACGGAGGCGGCGTTTCTAGAGGCGCTGGTGGAGTACCGCAAGATGCATGCGCGCTGTGTCAATGGCGTCAAAGACTGGGAGGCCTTCTTCCGCGACAAGTCAGTCCTCCCCACCCCACCCCGCCCCGCCTCGCCTCGCCCACACAACTACTCACTCCACCCGCTCACCGCACTGCCTACCTGCGCGGGCGTCCCATACCTGCTCCTGTTTTGCTCGAAATCCCACCTAATTATTTCAGAGCGTAAGGAGCCATGCGTGGACACACAAGCATATCTCACCCCATGGCAGAAAACTGAGCTCGTATGGCACGCACTCACCTGAGCGTCTCGTTGCCTTGTGGCCAAAGCCTCTCACCCTTGCTCACTGTCTGCATGCCTGCACTCCAGAATTTTCCAAACAACTGAGATAACAAGCCCGACCGCTTTTCTGCCCTGCATCCATGCTCTCCTTGTGCTCGCACCCTTGATGCCCTGTCGCCTTCCCATGCACTTGCAGCCTCCCTCAACCCTCGCTCCTCTTATTCCATCCATCCATTCACCCACCTCGTCACTGCTACCTCCCTCCCATCCCCTCCCCTTGCACACCCCTCCACACACTCAGAAGCCCCTGAGGGAGACCCTGACGCTCTTGACATCCCGACCTCTCGTACTTACACAGAGGCAGTGTCGGGACTGTGGGCTTGTCAGTGGATAACGGCTATGGACGCAGTGATCCCGTGTTGGAGATCCACTGGCACGTACGTCGACGCAGTTCTCCTCCCCGGGCGAACGTAGTCGTTGACACGTGAATCTTCCAGGTGAAGCAACCGCCTGGTTTGCCACCTAGCTTCAAGGCGCGCTACAAGGCTAGAGGCTTCAACCAGCATGAGGGAGTAGACTTCTTCCAAACCTTCTCCCCCACCCCAAAGATGACCACTCTTCGAGTGCTACTACATGTCGCAGCACATCGAGACTACGAGCTGCACTCACTAGATTCCTCCACTGCCTTTCTCCAGGACCGACTGCACGAGAAGCTCTGGATGCGATGTCCTCCTAGCTTCACTGGCACTTTCTCCGGTCTCCGCCATGCACCTCGTGAGCGGCACGACACTCCTCGCTCCACTCTTGCTTACCTCGGGTTCCGTCCTTCGTCTGCTGACTCGTCGCTGTTCGTGCGTTATGGCTCCACTCCTTTCTTCGTCCTCGTCTACGTCGACGACTTGGTCTTCACTACAGCAGACAGGGTTGCTCTGACTTCGGCGAAGTCCGAACTGCAGAAGTGACACACGTGTACTGACCTTGGTGAATTCCGCAGCTACCTTGGCTTGCAGGTCACCAGGGACATAATTGCCCGCACCATCACACTTACTCAGTCACACATGGTGCAGCAAGTCCCTCAGCGGTTCGAGCTTAAGTTCTCCACTACACAACCCACTCCTCTTGCCGTTGAACACTGCTCCTCTCCCGGACGAGCCCTTTGACACTAGTGGTCCCTACGTAAAGCTTGTGGGTTACCTCATGTACCTGAGGACATGTACTCGTCCGAACCTCGCTTTTCCTCTCAGTGTCCTGCCTCTCTTTGTTGCGACTGATAGACACCATCATGTTCACTAGTCGGTTGCTATGAGGGTAGCAAAGTACGTGGAGAGTAAACCAGGTAGAGAGCCAGTGCGACTTACTGGGCATTGCGACTTGTCCTGCTCCGACGACTTGAAGACTAGCAGGTCGACTCGAGGGCACTGTTTCAGCTTGGGCTCTGGACCTGTGCCATGGAGGTCCTCCCGGTCGTCGTTTGTCGCTTCGTCTAGAGCTGAGGCCGAAATCTACACCAGTGCCATTGCTGGTCAGGAGCTCCGCTGGTTGACCTTCTTGCTGAAGACTTAGGTGAGCGGCTTAGCTCTCAAACGACCTTGTTCGCCGACAACAAGGCCATGATCCTCATGTGTCAAGAGCCTCAACTGGAGAGCTTAGTGAAGCGCATCCATCTGCGCTACTTCCTACTGCAAGAGATGCAACGGCGCGGCCAAGAGCGCTTGGTCTTTGTGTCCTCAGCAACCAACAGTGCAGACATCTTCACCAAGGCCCTCCCGCCTGTTGTTCGCCACATATTTTGTTTACAGTTTGGCCTTGTTCAGACATGCCCTATTTTATTGTAGACATGCCTCTTGTTTCTTGCTCTACATCTCTAGAATGGCAACTTTTTGAACCAGGTAACCCGGTTTTGAACACCCATTTCTCACGACGCCCCAAGAAGTGATTGAAGCGCATGATGTTGATTGGCTAAAACAACAACAGCCATAACGGTGAAATCCATCTCCATAAAAGCGCAAACTTGAACTACTTTCGAATTGAATGCAAGGGGTCGTGATGATGAGATTGGATTGGGACAAGGGAATTTGAGAGGAGAGATTTGGCAAGGGAGTGGTATGATCGGTCAAGTGGGCTTGGAAAGTGTGGGTTTTGCCTCCTACACTATTGGTGCTCCCTCACTACGACGCCTAGCTACTAAGGGCGTGTTACATTTTCTAAAACAGGTAAACGTCTGGACAACAGTCCGAAAACGGTTCGGATGGCGAATATCGGACGGTCAGAGTCCAATGTCCAGACTGAGCCTCGTCCGGACGTCGTTTATGAATTTTTTTCACACTTACGAAATGTAAAATACTAACGAGACTGTAACCAGGACAACGACGCCATAACGAGATAGGTAACCTCTGAGCGACTCGCAGAGTCGTATTCGTCGGCCAGTGTTAACGCGTTACTGTTACGTCCGTCCGTTTATCGAACGGTACAAGTCCGGACGATTTGGCAGGGCAATTATGCAAAAAGTTCCATCGGCGGTCCGAACGTTAACGGCGTCACATGAAATCTAACGAAGCTCTTAACGAAAATCCACGAAATGTGTAACCGCTAAAATGTCCGGACGATGGACCGTCCGGCCTGGCAAAACTAGAAAATGTAACACGCCCTAACTCCGATCCATGGGTTTCCCCAATGCCCAGGCCTTACCTTTATAGTGGCAACACCATACCTTATTGTGCACCTCACTTACAAATGGGAACGGATCCTGCATGAATCTTGGGGCGGATGGGACACAGGATGCAATCAAGTGGTATTATGAGGCGTGATTGCGTGGTGTGGTGGAACATAATGGCGTGGAACATCTGGAAACTGACAAATACGAACCAAGGCACCGTTCTGAACTCGGTGGGGTGACACTTTTTGCGGAGCTTCGCGTTGAGCTTCGCCATGGGATTTGCGATGTCGCCATCGTGCGGAACCCAATTGGAACGTTTGGTCATTTGAAATGCCTTTGGCGGTTCTTAACGGACCGTTCGGTTTTCAGATGTACAGTGACTGCACGATTGTCGTAGGCGAGTTTATACAGTGTCAGGCGATGTCGCATAATTCTCCCAAATGTGCAAAGGACCAAGCGCATCGCCACTAGGAAAACGAACGAACGCCTCCAATACCGTGACTTCGTGCGAATTGGCTGCTTGAGTGCCCGTACTGCTCATCGCATTTCCGAACGGTACTCGAAAAATGCTCAAGCATCGTTTTGGTTTCCGAACGCTATCAAGGGTCACGTACACGTGTTGCAAGTTCTGTTTGTTATAGGTGAACATGTGATTGTAACGTGTGCGAATTCGTCACGATGTACAGCGACAGTAAAAAAAAAAAAAAAAAAAAAAATCCAACTTCTACATCCGGACGAGGCTACGTCCGAATCGCAGTCTGGTTGGGCCCAAAACGCACGACGCTGCGGAACTCAGGGGCTCCGTAGGGAACTTGACTTGAGATTCCCAAATTTTCCACGCCCTAATTCCATGGACAATATTTGAGTTATTTGTTACAGTGCGAACGCAACAATGTCTTCTTCCGTGCTCTTCCATCTTGTCCACGGTACACGGCGCTAGCCTTTTGGGTGCTATTACACAGTGCGAACGCAACAATTTAGAAGCAATTGAATGTATTTCAATAGTCATGAAGCCTGGCATATGAAGCATGAAGGTATTTAATGGAGACGTACTAGGCTAAGGATTCGGGGTCCAAACATTCGCCTTTGAAGCAATTAGACGACCTGAAAATGGGAAATCAGGAGATGGTGGAGGTGCGCAACGACACGAGGACACGTTCACGCTCAATGTGATCACGGAGCGCGGGAGGAACTAAGGCATGTGGCAATGCTGCAAGGCATATCAAACAGCTATATATTACAGTCGATGATGATACAAGAACAGCGCTACCAAGACCCCACAACCAAAACCAACCTTAATTAGTGTCCTCCTCGCATGTTTGGACAAGCACGCGAAGACTCACTGGCAAAGGAACGCATCGGAAACAAGAATGACAAGAATGAGGCAAAGACATCCGGAGGCCAGCAAACGATTGTTGAGAAGAAACCAAAGGGCAATGATGAAAGGGTGGGGCGCTCAGCTCTCGTGTGTTGGTAATGCAAGCAGTCTGGCCACCTTTTTACAAGTGTCTCATTGCACCACCAGGATGGTCACCACCAGGATGTGAACCAATAAACAGAGGGAGGAAAAACCAGCGCACTAGCAACAGCAAAGGGCAGCCGGGATAGACAACAAGTAGAGCTTAACCAGCATTGCAACGATTCAATCGTCAGAAGCTGCCATACCCTCGGCTGGAGGGTCCTTATGGTTGATGGAGGGCGGATGCACCCAGCACATGACTCCAGACAAAAGGTTGGTTGAGGAGTTGAATGAGTTGCATGAACTTGTGTATATGGAGCTTGCTAATGGCAACCAGCTGCTGAGCATAATGATGGGAACAATCCGAGCAAAGGCACAAGATGAGACGATAGTTTGCTACACCGAAGTGCTCTACACATCCGGTCTGAAGTCCAACCTCCTCTCCTATTGCTGGCCGCAAAAGAATGGAGCATAGATTCATGCGCATATTGACGGGCTCACGGAGATTACCATGGCTGATGGAGATGAGAATGTGCTCATTGGA